TGCACTGTTCAGTAGCACCAATTTATAGTGTGATCTACGTTCAAAAAATGAAACTGTAGCTGAGACTGATTGTTTTCTTTCGGAAGATAGAACTTTATTGTTATAAGTTTTAAGAGGCCGGACTGGCCCTTAACCTTGCTTTAGTGCGGAAATACATGTATGCAGGCGCATAGAACCCGAGAAGATCATCGTTTCACGAAAACTGTCCTCTCGATTATTTAAATGGATTTAAGTGTTACTGAACAATAAATGATTTTCAGAGGACGTTTTCCATGTGTTTTCTTTCTTTTCTTTTTCCGTTTTACTTTCTTTTTTCTTTTGTTTTTTTTTTTCTGTATTTATTTAACTCCTGATTACGCTGCGCCAGCTTTCATCACAAGAAGTTGTCATACACTGTTATATAATTCCAACACAATAAAGTAACAATGTGACGTCAGTTTACTGTTCTTGAACTTCGCTAGACAAAACTTGTTACAAATTTAACGTACTGTGAGCAGGCCGGTATAATAATTTAAATCAAAACTAGTGTGGGAAGGTATAGGGTCCCTGAAAAGTGCCAGTGCATTCGGTGGCTATAGCACAAATTTACAGTGTATACGCAGTATAAAGACACTGTGGACCAATTGTTTCGTGAGGGAGATTTGCGTTATGCACAGAAGCTGTTTGAATGTTTAAAGAGGTTGGTCTGGCCTTTAACCTCGCTTGAGCGCGGAAATGTACTGTTCCAAGGGAGGATCATATTTTCTCGAAATCTGATTTTAAAGGTTATTCTGCCTGAAGGGAAAAAGAAAGAAAGAAAGAGAATAGTCTTGCATATTAGGATTTTATTTATTTGTTATTTTTGTTTTTAATTACCTTTTTTTTTGCTGATCAGCAATTTTGTTCATTACTCTTCTTGTTTTTGGTACGCAATCGTGCGCAATGTAACAAGTTGAAAAATTTGTGACATTGGTTAGGAAGAGTACACGTTGCTTGTCGTTTGATCATTTCAAAGAAGATGTACTGGAATTCTCGTTAGACTTGTACTTGTGCGATGCGGTAAGAATTTTAAATAAGTCGTGTTAGATTGTTTCCTTTACTGAGAAGCTTAATGTGGTAAATAGTGCGGTGGTGTTACGACGGGGAACACTCTCTTTTAATTCAATTGTTATTATCTCCTGCTAAATCATAAAATAACATTGTAAGGAGCTAATCTCACTGTTCAGCGCTGAAACGTCTGATTTGAATCTGATTAACATATTTTCAACCCCGTTATGAAAAGAGGTTTCAAATATAGAAAATCTTCCTCATTCCAAAACCAGTCGACTTTAAATAGAGCTGAAAAACACACCTACCAAGCATTTGCCGGAGAGGTAAGATACAGCAAGTAAAGCACAGTCAAGAGTGAAGACAATGCTGGCGAAGCAAGTCTTCGGTTACTTCGCTTTTCAGGTGTTATTTTTGCCGCTCACTACAGGTAGGTGTCTAAGCTATTGAATGATTCTTGACTACTTATTTTTTACAGTTTCTGCAAGAGAAGAAACATTTTGTAAAACAACTTGATTATTTATTCACGTTGCATTTAGAAAATGTTCAGGGAGGTTCTACCTTTTTGAACTGTCAGAAATGACCGCGAACCCACAAATTTAAGAAAGTAGATGATAGTGAAAAATGTCTTAACTTTATGTGTGTACCCGTTCTTAAATACGAATGATTCCTTGGTAAAGGTTTGTGTTAAGGTCCATTTCATTTCATTTATGAACTGGGACATGAAGCAATCCCTTGGAGTCAATATGGAGAGGTTACAATTAGGTTTATTTGTCTGTGCAATGACTGTATACAAGGTCGATGAAAGGGAACGCATACAGATGACAGGGTATTACTTCAATGCAATTAAATGATATTTGTCTTTAAAATACTTTTAACTTTTTTTTGCATGTATGGTATTCAAGCGTATGTCTTTCAAACTGGGAAGGTGAATATTTCCGACACATCCCGAAACAACCATGGCTGCCAGACCGTTTCTTTCAATACTCAGTTCCAGGGTTCTGGAGATGTAAAGGTGTTTGCAACGCTTAGCCACGGAAGCGAACATGTCAAAATCCACGACCCAGCGTCTGTTTGGGTGAAGTCAGTGTCCACATCTGGTTTTGATGCCTGCGTTCGTGAAGCAGGCAGTGGTTCTGGAGGCGCGTCTGTGATCAACTGGCTTGCCTTTCAAGGTTCGCACCAAGGCATTGATTCAGGAATCGTTGAATTTGATGAATTCACCTCAAGAACCCAGTGCAAGAGGATATCGCTTAGTATTCAGAATAAGGTGAGATGGTAAAGTAGGTGAATTCAATCAGTCATTTTAACATACTTACAGGTGATAAACAATACATCCTTACTTGGACAAAATCGATCAGGCATGGAAGAAGGGGCCTTAAGCCTAAAGCTACATGTAGAATCGAGAATTCGGAAGTCCCATGCTTTACTGTCATAATTAGTCACTTAGAAGGAACTTTGAAAATGTCACATCAGGGCTATGTAGAATCCCAGACCTTACATTTTCATTCCTCTTTTTTTTTTTTCTGTCATACATAATTGTTCTTTTGTTATACTCTTTCTTACTTAGGCGAGACCCCAAGTGTTTGTGACTGTTCTACATAAACATTCCGACCGACCATTTGACGCCATGAATATTTGGCTAGAAGACGTCAAAAAGGATGGTTTTGTGGTTTGCTTGAGGGAGTTTATGAGCTTCGACGGCATCCATTCGGGTCTCAAAGTGGTAAGTTGAAATTGAGAAGTCTGATGTTCACTAGCCTTTATTGCTCTTTTCGCGAATTTACCACACAGGTTTTGCGTGTCAAAGAAGTCCACCTTGGGGTAACTAAAGGGTGTTCCAGTACATGTGGCATCACACACTACACTACTATGTGTAGCAAATTCTGTATCGTGCTCCTTCTTCAAGTTGTATTACAAACATTAATATATCCAAAACAACAGTTAACGTCTTAAGTGCGAGTTTATTTAGGTTAGATATACCTATTCCCAATGCTTTTTACAGCACATCTGTCTGTCGAAGCTCCCTTCTCAGGACGACGAATAATAATAATAATCCTCCACAAATCTGTAAATAAATGTGTGTATATTCTTTTTGTTCTTTTAAGAACTGGCTTGCGTATGATGTGCTCCCGGTGTCTTGGAATATTACTGAAAGAGGAAAGCTTCATTTTTCTGGACTTGGTGCACCAAAGAAAGAAAATAACTATGCTTTTTGTCAGGTTGGAAAGACAAGCGGTCTTCTACATTTATTTGTTGAGCCTCTGTTTAGTTTAGTTTAGCTCAAGCGAAAACGTGTATCGCTCATTTCCAAGAGACACTATAACGGTCTGTTTCTATAGTGGATGTACGGTTATCAGTGACAAAATAGGGTTAATCGTATCGTTGATCCTGATTTCTGTTGTACACCTGTACTTGAATTGTACAAAAGTGCATCCACTAGCAGTCTTCATAAACCTTGATGTTGCACTATAATCTCTTTTATTTATTTATTCATTTTATAGAAAACTTGCAAAACTTTGTTCTATTTGGAAATAAGAGGAAAAACGTTTGGAAGCCGGCAGTGTACATGACCTGATGTATAAATTTTTAAATGTCTTAAATGTTAAAAGAAGAAAAATACAGAAAGGTCTTTGAATTACAATAGTTTTTCTTAAACCGAGGTCGGAATAAAGAAGTGATAAGCTTTGAATAAGGCTTTAACTTTGCATTTTTGTGTACTAATGGTTTTCAGGATTATAAATTCGAAAATCCCTTTTACGAGCCTCCTACTGTCCTCGCGTCTGCCAGACATGACAACGTTACCAGTGCTCTGTGGATAAAGGCTGATAGTCGTTTCAGCAACGCTTTAAATGTTTGGATCGAGGTAAGTAATTTTGTAGACCATATACAGCCATTAATCTTTCCTTATTTATTGAAACTGATTTTAGAGTTCTTTTTTCAATTGCCTCCACACTCCAAGTAACTGAGTGAAAGTGAATTAAGCGCTGGAAGTTGCAGCACCGCTTTTAATAAGTTACATTTAACTTGAATCAAATTCCTCAGTCATTACTGGCGCTTCAACTACGGTTTTGTACCGAGCAATTTTTAATTTTTAATTTCAAATGTGGGCTGGAGAAAGAGTGGCGAATAAGAGACCTTCATTCAGTTTTAGTAAAATTGGGTCAGTCGCGAAAATTGAATTAGATAGTTCTAAAAAGTTTTTTTCTGCACACACTTTTCTTGCTTTTGGATTTCTTACCCCACAAAAGAAATACCCACGCCTTAGAAATCTAGGAACTAGGAACCTACTTAAGACTCAGAAAGCCCCACCTTTTTTTTCATTTCACTTGGATATAATAAGGAATTTTTTGAACTGCCAGATACTGAATTAAAAATTTAATATTAGTTCATTGTTTAGGAATTCTGTCTAAATCTTTTGTAACTTAAGTTTGACGGGGGTATCTAAATTGATCGATTCATTTCCTGAGTCCTCAAATCGAACTGAACAGTATTTCTTGCTAACTCTCTAGTAGTTATACCTGAATGAAGTTGTTGTCTTCTAGGAAATTACTCGTTAATCTTTCAAAGTGTGCATCAAGGACAGCCAGGGAATTAGCAAGTCTCACGATCCAATTACAGTGGACTATGCAATTGTGGGAGGTAATTTGTTATTTCCATTGCATGCAAAAAAAATCGTTAAGATAAGAAGCAGTTTCAAAGTCGAAAAACGACGCAAAAAACAAAAAGACAGGTTTTTTGGGCATATACACATGTCGTGAAGGTCTAAAAAAATGTATTGTCCTTTATAATTCCTCGGACTTACGTCTAGCCCCGCATGCCGAATTGAGTAATATTTTTCCGAAAAGTGTATTATTTTAAGCACTTCATGCTTCAGGAAGATTTCTGATAGGAGTTTAGGAAGCAAAATGGTTAAATTCCTGTCGTAATCAGTGATCTTATATTTTTTCTCAAAGATATTGACCCGTGCACAAATGTTACTTGCGATTACCATGCCATCTGCAAAGCTTTCTCTGCATTTGATGCCCGTTGTGTTTGTGATGACAACTGCCCGTCGTACGAGGAGCCAGTGTGTTCATCTAACTCGACAACATTTAAGAACAAGTGCTTTTGTCTGCTGGACATTTGCAGGCGCAAGAGCAACCACACTCTCTATCATCCCGGTAGTTGTACAGGTAAGAGAGCGGATTATAATGATTTTTAAAACCAACTTAACCAGCGTATGCAGAGCTCTAGTGTTATGAGATATGGTGCTGCTGATGACTTTTGACATCCCTCAATTTGGCGGCCATCTTGGGCGCCATCTTGGAATTTACTGAGAATTCCGTTTTAGGCAGTGCACATGGCATTTTCCATGCTGGAGGTCTAAAATAATTCATGATTAAATGATTATTTTTCTTATTTTGGTACTGTTTTGAACGCAACAAAGTGTCAATCATATAGTGCCACTATATGATTGTGTGACTGTACAATCAGCCTCTAACTTTAAAACTCCTCGCATATAGAAAGGATTTTGTATGTTGTTTTTCCTATCCTCATCAGGTATTTGCAGGATGCATCTTTTTTTTGTCTTAGTGTTAACTTTTTTTTTGCTGTTTTTGTTTATTTTTTCGCTTTCAGCTCTAATTAGCTTTGTTTTTCTTTTGTTGTTCTTTTTCTTGTTGTTCCTTGACAGGTTTTCCTGTTCAGACTGGGCGAGTTTCACTGAAAAGACATATACAATGGGCAGAGACGGCCTGTGAAGTAGTGAAATTTCCACCGTTTTCATTCTATCCGGACAAAGAAGTGCACGTACAGATAACGACCAATCACTGGAACATAAGCGAGAAGAATTTTATACATGATGCTACTGTGTCCTGGGTGGAAACTGTTAACTTCGAGGATTTTGAGGTGAATATTTTAAAGGAAGTTTTCAATTCAAGTATTACTTCAAGTAGTAATTAGTGATCCTCTACTCATTTGTCTTACATCTCCAAGAGCTCTTGTTTACCTGTCATATTTCTGGCCAGTAAAGTACTATTTGAACATATTTTATTTTCACAACGAGTTACTAGCGGAGATTTCGCGTCTTGCGCGCGCAGAAGAGCACTATGGGTAAGAAAATTTGGTTATCTATGTAACCAAACAATTTTGGTTACTAACAAAATCGTGCGTACGTACGTAGGACCGCGTCTTCATGTTAACGGATGTGAAATGTCTTACTAGCTGTAAGTCCAAAACATATACAAATTGTGTTTAACTCGATTTTGGACATCCATGTTATAATCAATTGACAGCTGTCAAGTAGGGCATCCCCAGACCAGTGTCACTCGACTTTATTGCGGGCTCAGGTGTGCTACTTATTAAGGTGACCCTTTTTTAAGTTCTCAGCTGACCAGTTATGGAATCAAGTGATCGCAGGCTTGGAAAACTTTTTTTCAGCAAGTCAGTTACCACGAGAGCTTCGCTTTTGACCTGCCTAAATCTATGTATCACCTTACCATATAAAATAAACATTAGCCATTACATTTAATATTTAGGTGTGCGTGACTGCAGCAGGAAGAAATGATCGCTTTATCAAAGAATTTGCCACGGTGGACTGGATGGCCTACCAAGGTGCTCCTGATGGAGGTGTGGCGGGTAAAATGCGCATTCCAGAATGGTGGACTGGATCACAGTGCTCAAAAGTCAGCCTTCCTCAGGCAATAACACTTTATTGTTATCTCTCAGCTGCATCTTGTTTCGTTGCATAAACCAGAAAAAATAGTGACCTTTAGTTAAGTCTTTCAATAAGGTGAACATTTGCTATGCTGATGTTGTAAGTACCAAACACGTCATTGTTAACCAATCAAAGATATCGTACTTGGACTTGGAGACATGAGCTGGAAATAGGCAGCCCAGTTTTGTCCGCGAAATTCGTTTTTTTTAAATCAAATTTTAAACCTTTTTTTTTAATCAGATATTTTAAACGTTTTTTAATCAGAAAATTAGGAGAAAGAAACTTCTCTAAAAAAATTTGACAGTCGCGTTCATTTACCACAAAAATGTCCTATGAGAAATGTGAAATTTTTATTTAATTTTACCAATTAAATCATTTTGCTTATACTGTAATTACAATGTTTCTTACTGTAATGTTTTTTTTTTTTTTTTAACAGGGAAAATGTGCGTCTACACCAACGGTCCTGGTTACAGCAGAACATATAAGTGCAGACTTTAAGCATGATGCCGCAAGTTTGTGGGTGGAAAACGCAACCAGTTCCTCCTTTTACATTTGTCTTCGAGAACTACAGAATTATGATGGTCTACATGAAGATATCTTTGTGGTATATGTTTTCTCCGTTATAAATATATCTGTCTGGAGTCTGCTAAAACGTGGCTAAAGAAATTTCAAGTGCATTTTATCAGTTTGATATCTGAGTCGAATGGAATGCAGTTAAAAGTTACTAGCTGACAACTTTATTGCTGGCGCCAGACGGTAAATTCCTCTCTCAGAAGTGAGAGGATTTTGCTATAAAATAAACAAGATTTGAAACGTCCAGACATTATAATCTTTTAGTCAGCCAAACCTGAGGCCCCTAGCCAAGTGCGTGCCGAAAACAGATTAAGAAGCCACAAGCACAGAATAGGATTTCTAAGACAAAGGCATCTAAACTAAACACTCACGAAGCGCTTTTATGCTTGGCCCAAAGTAATCTGTTAACACGAGCGCAACCGCATACCTGAGTTTTGTCTGTCAACACCTTCGGTAAATCACTCAATAAAATCACTTTCGATTCAATGACAACATTTCCAAAAACCGCGCATAATATTTCCACATTTAACACGGGCGAAACATCGTCAAATTACTTGGAGCAAAAAAAGCCCGGTCTGGATAGGATCAATGATAAAATACGTGAAATGACTGAGATCTCGCAAGTATTGTGGATACAACTTACAAATCGTTTTTCGGGAACAAAGCTTAATTATTCCTACACGGGATTTAGGTATGAGATAGCAATCCATTTTTAATTGCTATCCCTCTCTTTAGAGTTGGATGGCCTTTGAAAAAATACAGAGGCCCCTTTTCGCTGAGAGCAAACACGTGGATTTTCCAAACAACAGTTCCGTTTCTACAAGTTACAATGGTGCATTTTGCAAGGTAAGAAGCACTTTACTTTTAAGCAGAAGAAGGCTCTGTAACTATTTAGATGGAACAGCAGAGAAAAACTGCTATCAACCCCCCGGGGGGAGGGTACTCCCTTATATAAGCTATATAAGTATGTGCCGCCCCATCAGGTAGGGTTTTTGCGCCGTTTTGGTCTGAAAACGGGTATACACTTTGCCCATTTTGGTCTGGAATCGGGTGTGGTTTTTGAGGGAATTACGGGAGTGTCTGAACGTATTTATCGTTTCAATTCCAAATGAGTGAGAAAGAAAGAGAAAAATGCGAATTCGAAATGGATTTGAAGTGTTTTTTTAGTTTGCGCTCTAATCTAAGTAATGGTAACATAATTTCTGCCTAAAGGCCAGGTCTGAAAAAGGGTATGGATTTTAGAAGTCTGGTCTGAAAACGAGTGTGGAAAATTACATTCTTTGGTCTGAAACAGGGTCAGGACACTAGCAAGAATTCTCAGGAGCACCTCCCCGGGTATCAAACAAGAACATTTGTGCATTTTAAATCATATTTACAGCTGTAAAACTCCAGATTTTATCGCAACTTAAAAAATAGGACTAAAAACGAAGGAAGTCAACCATGATTGATCTCACATTTAGTTGCCATACCATCTCATATGATCTTTCAAAAGAAAAGAGACGAGGCCATGAAAGGAACTTCGGGAAAAAATCTTGAACAAAGAATTGTTTTTGGCACTCAAAAACTACCTGTTCCTTCGAGTCAGCGCAGCCACCAATTATATGACCATGCATTGATAAAAACGGATGATGTTTCAAATTTTACATCAACAGCCTTTTTTTTATTTCCTTAGGACGTCCCATTTGCAAAGAATTACGACAAAGAACCCATAGTATTAATAGCAGCCGGTCACAACTCAGAAGGCAACAATTTGAAGCCAATATACATGTCAGTGACCCCATGGATTGAGGTATTCTCAAATCATTTAACTAATATCAGAAACTCATAAGGGGTTGAAACATGTAACTCTCATATGTTTGCTTTGTGCGATGCTTGTGATTATTCATTTTCGAAAGTACCATATTTGGAACGAGAAGAAGAGATAATTGACCAATCAAACTTCGTAAACAACGTAACATAGTTTTACTTCATGTTCCCGCGCCCGCTTGAAAAAAATGGCCGACAAACGGGGGAAAAACTCCCGAAAGCTGAGAAAGCTTTCAAAGGTTGAAACCAGGAGTCTTACCGAAACACTGAGCAGGATATTATTGCCTTACCACCCAGGCCATACATAACATTATGAAACCCATTGACGTCCTCGCAACTTCATGAAGTTGTCACTTTAAAAAACGATGCCTCGTTGACCCTCTGTACAGCGAACTTATACTGCAAATAGGCTTTTAAAATTCTTATATTAAAAGTCTAGAATAAACAGTAAAAAATATTTTCGAATAAAATTCATTAGCTGCCTATCGAAAAGTGTCCAATACCTGAACCTGACATCTTCGCAAAAGGGTGATGCGTGTAATGAATGTGAGAAGCCTTTCAGGGAGCATTCATAATTTATCTAGAGGGTGGGCTATGATGCTTTCCTTATTTTTTCCTTTTTTTTTTGAAGCCCCCCCTGATAATCTCTGGGGGTTTTTTCTGACCCCCCCCCTCAAGAGATGTTGATTTATCAAAGGAAAATATCATAGCCCCCCCTCCCCCACCACATAAGTACAACATGTCAAACTCACCCTTAGCCATATCAAAGCCTTGTGACAGGTATATTGAGCTTTATTAGTTTTGCACCTATAAAATGGTGATATTTCAAGATGTCAATTTATGAAAATATAATGTTTAGTACAATTAAATCTCTACGCATTTTTAATTCAAAATTGTTCTATTTTGGACATTCTTGAGAAAAGCTGATTAAATGATTGGCTTATAATAAATTTAACTATCCGAATTGGTACTGGAGAGAAAGTAGTCTATTAGTTGCACTGAACATACATTCCATATAAATTCGATTCAAGCAGATTTAGAAGCTAATGATCTGATAGATCATGGCCAGTTGTTAGTGCAGTGTTTTTAAATGAAGATCTGTTTAGAGGACGCTAATGATCTTCATTAAACTACTGCATAACAACTGGCCATGCTGTATCATCTAGCAAGTCATCTTTCAACTCTTGGAGAGCATCAAACTATCTTGAGTCTTTTTATATTTAGAAACTAGCAAATCCAAAAAATGGTTGGCCCCCCCTTATGCTCGATGTAATTTTCGTTGGAAATTTTCCACAGCCCCCCCTAAATCATAGTAGGGAAAAAGAGTGACCCCCCCCTCAAAATCATCATAGCCCACCCTCTAGGTAAATTATGAATGCTCCCTAAGCTTAAACTCAGCTTGGATGTTGTAGTCACGATCGTTTTTTGAGCTAATTTTATGACTGAAAAAACTCAAAATAATAGACAGAGAAGCCGTTTCTTGAAAATCTTTATTCAAAATCCAAAAGGTTAATCCTTTAAAAGCAATTCGGAAAACACTATCTGGATCGTGAATCCGTTGGCGCTAGTGAAATCGGCTGAGCACATGGCAAAATTCAACACAAAATCCATCTCAAATTGGGACACATTTTGTAATTTTTCTTTAGTGCCGAAGAGAAAAATGTATAAAACGTCTATGAAACATTTAAAAGTACATAAATTCCCTTTCAACAACGTAATTGTCTTGGCCATAGAGTGCAAAATGTACCTGAAAATTCAGCAAAAACTTCATTGCCTTGGTTGCATTTCAAAACAGGCCATGCGCTCCGTCGTGAAGAAAACAAGGTTGAGTTCCTCGAAGGACGATTTCTTGATGAAAAGCTTCCCTTCCTCCACAAAAAGAAAGCTGAGCATTCTTTTGAACTTTCTCTTTCCATTTTTTGTCTTTTAACGGTGTATTTTTAACCCTGAAATGCAGAACTCTTGTCTTAAAACATCTGCATGGTGATCGCGCGGCAGCCATTTGTTGAAAATGGATATCTGTCACTAAGGTTTCCAAATATGGCAAAAGTGAATATTCACGAGCATTGAACGCGAGTTACACGTTTCAACCCCTTACGAGTTTCTGCTAATATACAACACATTTTCTTCAAAATAAGTAACATCAAGCTGACGACCCTGTAGGAAATATGCAAATGAGCTAAGTTACACCAAGGTCTGTTCATGCGGTTTGCCGTTTATCAGTCATAGTCGCACAGCGAAACATTTCATGTGTTTGTCAATCTGTTATTCAAGGTCAGTTTCCCAAGTTCTTTTTCTGTTTAGATAGGAAAATGACTCAGCTACAGACTTTTAAACGAACGTCTCTAAAAGTTGAGCTGTTATTGTTCTTCTAAGCGAAATATATGACGCTAGATGATTTGCTTATTATTTTACAGCACATCAAGACCAGCAAATTCCGCATTTGTCTCAAGGAGTTGTTCGCTGACCAGCATGATCCTGTGAATGTGTCCTATACAGTACTAGCAGGTGTGTTAGTAAATGATAAAAACAAATTGTCTTTGCGAAGACCTTCTCATGCCCAGCAAGCTTTTGGTAGATGTCAAGTAAACTTAGAGACTCCTTGTTTCATATCTCCTTTAAGTAATCACCCGTAAATGTATTTTCTTAGTCCCTACTTACCACATGTAACGGTTTCTATTTCTAAAAACGTCTCGGTCAGCTCAAACTTTTCATGGAACGAACCAAACTCTAATTTGAGTTAAGATCGGCTGCTGGGTCAGACGTCGATGGTCTCCTGGTTTGGTTCGTCTCATGAAAAGTTCGACGTCTGGCCTATAGGCCTTATTTTCTCTTCATTTCGCACTATTTACTTCATACAATTTTTCTTGTATATTGCAGATGTATGTAAACCGGGCTGGTCATATTTTAACGGTATTTGCTACTCGACAAGCCATTCATGCCAAAATTGGACCGAAGCGGAGAAAATCTGCCAGGGATACAGTGCCAACCTCATCACCGTACGGAATCAAGAAGAAAACGTTTATATTCAGCATCGGCTGAATGGTGCTAAGGGCTGGATTGGTATAAATGATAGGGTCAGAGAGGGCAATTTCACCTGGGCAGATAATCAAACTAATAATTTCACATACTGGGCGAAAAACCAACCAAACAACTTCAACAATGAAGATTGTGTTCACACATTAGGAGTCAGACGTAGTTTTATGTGGAATGATGTGAGGTGTGATACTTGCCATAACTATACCTGCTCAGAAGGTTTGTGGGTGACTTACCTCTTTTCTATAATAATAGGCGATGTTCATCATTGTCATCATCATTATCATCATCATCGTCATCATCATCTTCATTACCATTATCATTAGTTCCTATTCAAAAGCCTTTTGCGATTTGCCCTAAACCGATTTTTCAAATCGAGGTCAACTTCAAAGTTTTTTGTTCACATGTGGAAATTGTTCTCTATTCTCATTCAAATAAATCCCTTCTCTTGTAAGGTTTCGCACTTGAACTCATTTTCTATGCATCATCATCATCATCAGCAGCAGCAGCAGCAGCATTATTGCTAGCTGTTATTCAAAAAGCCATTTCCAAGTAGCCCTAAACCTTAATTTTAAGTGTTCCAACGAAACTCCTTCGTCAAGAAAGGTTTAGCAGTTGAACTCATTTTGCAAGTGAGCGTTTCTAGGAAATTAAACATGGTCTTTAAGTTAACGTCGCCAGGCGTTAAGTGTTTCGATAACATTGATACACAAATGTAACATTGATTGATACATAAATGCACATTGATTTCGATAACATTGATACATAAATGCAACGTTTTTCTTTCATGTTGTCAAAAAAGACATACTTCCACCTGGACAAGTGTTTTGAGTTTACTGCAAATCTGTCAGTTATCGAAATGTTCCAAAGGGACTGGATTGAAGGATTAGCTTACAAAGAAAATCAGGCACTAGAAAATCAAAGAAAATCAGTGACTAGAAAAATTAGACATCGCAGAAAGAATCCAAGAGGCTGACGCTTTTAGCGTTTTTTAAATAAGTCCTTCATCGAGAAGAGTTTTAACTGACTGATCCATGTGCACATACATTTATATTAAGTTCATTTCAGTTTTGTTAAAAAAGTTAATTGACAATCGATAGGCAGGTTGATTGATTGAACAATTGTTAATTACTTGATTTTTAAATTAGATTTCGATGAATGTGGAGGAAATAATAACCACTGCCACAAGAATGCTGTCTGCACAAACACCCTCGGCTCCTATAAGTGCCATTGCTCCGTAGGATATGCTGGTGATGGCTTGGCATGCACAGGTATTATATGCTGTGGAGCACGAAATCTCTTGAAAACTACCGGTAGTTTTATCAACAATACTTTTGACAAAGATAGGCTAATATTTTAAGGGAAGAACGATTACTGTCCAGTAAATACTTCAGATTTTCAACCGCTGCTAGTTACAATTTCAGGTCACAAATATAAAACGCTGAAAAACTAGAACAACATGCATATCGTCTTCAACACAAAAATCTTGTTACATGACAAGCATGGCTGACCCAAGGTCGCCGTAGTAGACGTGTGTAATAACAAACAACAAAATAAAATTGTTGGACAACAAGAACTTTACAAAAAAAGACCATCAAGAGCTCGATAAAAAATTTAGTCCAAGAAGGGCCCTGATGGAAAGTAAATTAGAAAGGCAGGGGCTCTAAGAAATTGTGTCGCGGACTTAATCTCCTCTCGGCTATTAACGTCTGCGAAGCAGCGCCGAGATTCTTGATCTGGACCCCAAACGGGCTCAACGAATTACCAGCAGTGCGTTTTGAATTTTCCTTCAACATGATGACCAATCGAGCAGTGGCTTATTAACAGGCTAATAATAGCGCCTACTCAAATCCTGGTACATGTACACAGATGAGAGCACAGAAATCGGCACTGGCTAGCAGACGGACTTAATCAGAGGTTTTTGGTCTGTGGCGCAGGCTAGGGCTGTAAACGAAATCAAACAAAAATCAGGCATTATTGCTGACGGCGGAAATTCTTGGCGAGCAGTGATAAGCCTTTGGTGATAGCACCTCTATATCTGCGATACAGACAGTATTGGCCAGCAGCGTTAACATGAACATCAGGCCAATATGGGTCATAGCTTGGTGCAGAAAAAACAATATGTCGCCAAAAGAAAACTTCCCCATATTCACTTTTAAACGGAAGGAATTGATTATTCGACTGTGGGACCCCTGATGACGTGTAAAAGAACATAAACATTCGTCAAGAGGTAAAACGTCCGGGAAGCGCGCGGTCAAAATTGTTCTTGAGTTCGAAAGCTAACCAACACACAAAAGAATGGCCTATAACAAGAACTCAAGGATTACAATGACGGTATCGGAATTGTCATGGCAACTAAATGACGCCATACCTATTTTACTTGCAGCCGTATTCTCGGCACTGGGACTGTTCTTGAAAAATCGGTCACGGGAACTTATTTTTTCCTCCAATAGCCGCCTCGATGTTCGTGAAGTTTAAGCGAGATCTATGAGAGCGTTATCGAGATATTTTGGGATGACGTTTTTTATGGTAAAAACTGGACAATAATCTTGACTTTGCGCCGTTATCTTTAGAAAACGAAGCGCTTTTGAAATGCAATTACACCTCATAGCAGTTTCAGTCTTTTTAAAAACGTGTGTGAAAGATTATGAAGATAACTTTATGAAGAAGGATTTAAAATGACAGGTAATCATGAGAATCTCAAATTTTAAGAAAAATCTGTTTAGAGGTTTCAAAATTATTTGCTTATTTGTTAAAGAAGACCAAAATGTTCCCAAACCGCTACCAAGAGCGCCTAATCAAATACCTCATTCTAGCAATCGGCTGATCTCCATGATCTTTCACACACGTTCAGTTTAAAAAGATTGAAACTACTATGAGTTTTTCAAGAGAGATGTTCAAAAACGTTTCGTGGCTACAGATAACGGCCAAACATCAAGATTGTCGTCATGATGATATCGATTTTACTAAAACTGCATTATGACAAACATCAGTTCATAGTCAATCACTGGTGAAAGTTTTGAAGCAATCGGACAGGGATAAAATGAATCACTTTTAAGGCGATTAAAAGGTATTGGTACATGTATAGTCTCCTGAAAACTATATCCAAACACCTTAAAATCCGCTGCTGAACGGACAAGAATGACTCAAACATGAACTTTCTGAAGGATGCAAAAGCGTAGAGGGGGTAAAACCCAATTTAATTATCTGCTCCTCGCGCCCAGGCCTACTAAGGCTACTTATTTGCAGGCAAATATTTCTTACACGCCAGAAGCTTTTGAAAATTAATTTACGGCACTCTACGTTTCTTGAAATGGTAGTAAAAAGGTTTTTTGTTTGCTTTAGATATCAATGAGTGTTCCTCAGGTCACCAGTGTGACAGCAGTGCAACATGTTATAATACTGATGGATCCTACACGTGCATCTGTAACAACGGCTACACGGGAGATGGACGAACCTGTCGAGGTACAAGCCAGGAGCATATAATAATCGCCTTCTAACAAGCATTGAAAAAGCATTTACAATACAAGTGATATCGTTTACTTATGAGCAAAAAAATTGAAAACCGTCTCTTCTCAGTGGTCCATTTAACTGTTGTTTTTTTTGCGCCTCAGAAGTGCACTTCTATGATATTCGTTGCCAAAAAAAATATCGAGCATAATGATAAATCCTTATTGTTTTCCAGATGTTGATGAATGCTCACTCAACACCCATGACTGTGACGCGCATGCAATCTGCACCAATACAGAAGGGTCATTTACTTGCAAGTGCGACCTGAATTCGCATCACATTGGCAATGGAAAAACATGTACTCCTCATCGTAAGCCGAGCTTTCTTTTATGTATTTATTCATGAATAGCTTTTTATGTAGGGTGACCAGTTTGATAACCGTTCATTTCTAGTTTGGGGAAGGAGTATAAGCAAACAGTATACGGCATTTCATCAACCGATTTGCCTCAAAATAACAACTTCTGCCAATTCATAATGTCGATCATCTCGATTATTTTCTCCAAGAATGTCCAGCTCTTGTTTAAATGAGTGTTTATATTTCAAATCCACTAAAAGCAAGGTAGCATGATCGGTTTTGTGGTTTACCTGCTTAGTGACCATTCAATGATCTTGAGAAAGTGCACCCCGGGATTGAGGGGTTGCATTTAAGGTGGCTCGATACAGTTTTTCAGGGTCAATACCTCCCAAGTTTGAGAATAAACTAAGTCGCCATAAACAAAGATTTTGAAAAATTGCCACCACATTTGCATTAGATAAATATTAAAATTTGTTATGATCAGGGTTGCAACGACATCGGAGTTGTCATAGCAACGAAAAGACGCTATTACCTATTTTGCTTGCAGCAGCATATCTCGGCACTGGGAACTGTTCTTCCAAAATCGTTCAAGGGAGCTTTTTCCTCTAATAGCGGCCTCGGTGTTCGTCAAGTTTAAGCGAAATCTGTAAGAGTGTTATCGAGATATTTTGGGATGAAGTTTTTATGGTTAGAAACAGTAAAAAATGGAAAATCTTGGTGTTTGGCTGTTATCTTTAGAAAACGAAGCGCTTGCTTTACTGTCTTACAATACATCAATAATCTTAAAACTGAAAGGCCATATCAAAGGAAGGTTAATCTCAAGAATCTTAAATTTTTTAAGGTAGACCAAAATGTTTACAAACCGCTAACAAGAGCCCTTTGATACATACTAATCAAATCCTTCTTTCTAGCAATCGGCTGGAGCTATCTCCATGATCTTTCACACACGTTTTAAAAAAGATTGAAACTACTATGAGGTGAAATTTCATGTCAAAAGCGCTTCGTTTTCTACAGATAACAGCCAAACATCTAGATTTTCTATTTTTTACTGTGTTTGTAACCATAAAAACTTTACTCCAAAATATCTCGATATTGCTCTTGCAGATTTCGCGTAAACTTCACGAAGATCAAGACCGCTCTGTTGAAGGAAAAAGCTCTCGTGAACGATTTTGGAAGAACAGTTCCCAGTGACGAGAAATACTGCTGCAAGTAAAATAGATAACAGCGTCATTTCGTTGCCACGCCAACTCCGATGTCCTTGCAAGCCTGATCATAACAAATTGTCGTCTTTATCTAATACAACCGTGGTGGCCATTTTTCCAAATATTTATTTATGGCGACGTAGTTTATGCTCAAACTTGGGAGGTATTGACCCTAACGAACTGTATCGAGCCACCTTAACGTGATTCGATGTTTTTGCACTGTGCATTTCTTACAGCGCATAACAAGATGGGCGCCATGAAAAAGAGCATCTGAAGTAACATTAAAAAAAAGTTGACTGAAGAGAAGCGTTATCGGAATTTTCGGTTGCGGTTGTTTCTTACCTAGATGAGACTCGATGTGTGGATAAACAATACATTTAAGTGAAATTCTGTGCGATACCACATGCGTCATCGAAAAAATCTCTCCTGTTTATGTAGTTTTGGGCTGCGGGCGGTTCTTGCCAAAGGGTCTTAAATAGGTGTATTTGTCAGCATTGCGACGCGAAATCGAGCATGGTGAACCCCACTTTTTATCATTTTTTTTATCATGTTCTTGACTTGTTACAACAGTGTACCGAGTTTACGTTTAAACAAAACACTGCCAGGATCAAACCTTTTAATGACAGAGGCAAGTGCCTCGGTTTGCCTCATACTGGTTACGGCCCTGATAGGAAATACAGTGCATCAATGATCTTACTACTGGACGATTTGAATTAGTGTATTTGCTTTAAATTAGAAGCCCGGGAAAGGTGTATGTTGGGTGCACTGTCAGAAAGGGACACCTTTTTCACGCTTCAGGTATGAAAGGATAGGGATTTCCGGAGTTAAAGTATATGAGAGGGTAGACTATGTGTCATTTCGTTCTGTAAAAAGACTAACAAAAGCAATTGTGACTGTAAAATTGTCCAAAAAATTAACTGGTTTCTGATTCCTTTATATTAAAATGACAGTGCATATAAAATAGTTAACAGGAAAGATGCATGTAAGGGGTTGGACCTCAGGGCGGAGTCTCACAGCGTGTACAAAATTTTATTGTAACAATGTAATGTTACAGTTGAGATTGGAAATTTACTTTAGTCACAAAACGAATCAAACATATAGGAAATGTCACATGCATGTCACCTTTGACTGTCAGCAAATGTTATGTAGTTCACTATATTTGCTCCCCTTGCAAATATGGATAATTATGATGCAAATGTGCAAATTTATGATACAGCCAAATATCTAGAAATTTATTGTTTTTGTTCTTAAGGCAAATACGAGTAAACCACATGCAAAAGTGTTCTTTTGGTATCCTGGAAAACCAAGAGCAAACACCACTGCAAATTAGGGGTTTTGCAATATTTTTGCCTGCATTTGAAGTACAGTGAAAACTGCGATTTTTGCCAAGGATGTAAATTTGAGCAAATTGGTAGAAATGTTGAAGATTTGCCCATGCTGCAAATATGTATCAAATTTGTATCAAACCATTACATTTACTTGACTTTTGCGTATCAATACCTATCTAGCAAGTATATGTATTTGCCCACACTTAAGCCGACGGCGCAAATGTAATGCAAATTTAGAGCTCCAAATTTACCACATATTTGCACCTTTCGCAAACATTAGTAAATCCGTTTTTTCGTCCGGTGATCCACAAACTATCAAGGTTCGTTTACTAAGGAATCACCTTGTTTTTACCCCACTTGAGCGGGTTATCTCAACTACCGGCTGGGGTCCCACACCTTTTTGTAAACAGGCCATAAGCCACCCACTGTCCAATCCGACAGCAGGCTCAGCTGTTCAGTGGTCAGATTCCACATCGTTCCCAGATTTATTGGCATACGACATCTCTTAAATTTAGGACAAATTTCTGACTTACCTCCTTTTCAGGTGGCCTTGGTGACTCCGTCATTTTAGCAAACGATGTCAGCAAGATAACGCAACTAAATAACTGGCTTCTTTCCCACTTGCAAAGTTCGGACAGAAGTTACTGGAAACTGTGTTTTAGAGCTTCTATTCATGGTTGGAGATCACGAACCTTTCACAGCTACTGCGATAACAAAGGTCCCACTGTAACAATTGTTAGGGTCGGGATCTATATTTTTGGAGGCTACAACGACAATTCATGGCAATGTAAGTCCGTGAAATAGCTAAGATACTTATCAGGAAGGCTTCGACTGGTTGAATTGAATTAAAACCGAGGGTTCGTTGACCCTAAATGTGAAAGAAAGAACAGATAAGGCCTTAACCGAGACAGTTTTCGTTAGCAGTTCAAAACAACTCTAGTCTTAAACGGATTTTTATTAATCATTCGCAATATTCTGTGATAATTTTCAAAACGTCGGCGTATGAGGTTAATTAAATACTCGCAAGACAATGTTCTATGGCACTTTGTAACACATATCGCACCAGGTAATAACACTTGTCGCACTTTGTCAACTTGAAATGGATGCTCGAAGGACACGTAAACCCAATAATAAGTATCATCATCGACAAAAACAATAACAAGAACGATAGCAATAATAATAATAATAATAATGATAATAATAATAATAATGGTAATAGTAACACTTCACTGAACTGTGTTTAGCACCAGTTTCTCAAGTGGGGGCGGATAAAAGTGTTCACATCAATTGCGGCCTTCCGGCTTCAAGGTCTTTGTAGGGAAGTACACCGGCAACTCTTTCTATGCGGACGACCTCGAGACCGTCAGATAGTGTCCATAACAGAAAAGGTCCGTAATAATGGGAGTTTGGATTGGAATTTAGCCTCTATCCGTATTATCGGGTTGTCCATAAAAGTAAAGTCTCCTTTAGGCGAAAGGTGATTGTATAATCAAGTTTTTGGAAAGTTTTACCAGTAGCACGGCTGCGAGGATATGAACAGAGATAAAGCAAAATGTTAGTGTTTGCTGTCAAGAATAAGTGCTAAACATATATTTCATAAAACCATAAAACACAAACTCTGAGTTACAAACATTATCATCATCAAAATCATCATCATCATCATCATTATCGGTATTATTACTATTGTTATTGCACCATGGACGTTACCATGTCAGCCGAATTTTGACAGCAACGTTTTTTTCAAAATTTGCTTTTTCCATATAACAAAGGACTTATTTTTATTTTTACTGATTGTATTTGAGCCTTATCCTTAATTTAGCAATATTTTATCATATTTATTATAACTGTAAGTGAAATCCAGGTCCTTAAATGATTGATTTGAGAAACAATGGGAATTTAAAATAACCAAATAGCAAATGGTGGGTTCAACTTTTAACAGAGATAATTTCTCTCGGAATTTCATAACTTGCGGACTTTTTTGCTTTCTAAGCATCGTTTTAAGCACAGATCAATTTTTGTATAACGATTATCTCGATTTATGCGCATTACAAGTAAAATGGAGAACAATTATTTAATTAATGTTTTGAAATTGTGGATCTAAGATGGCGCGTGGTTCCAGATCCTTCTTTAGCAATGAATGACGTCGTCATGACATCACAGCTATTGCCTTCTTCTCGATTTCGTCAGGCACGGTACTATTTGAATATTTTTCGCTTTAAGAGAAAAATTATGGAATTGGATTTGGCCAATAGGTATATTCAACAATATGACTTCATAATGACATCAAACTACTTCTTTGTGTCAATCAAATTATGCCCAGATGTTGGAAACAAAGAGTAGATTATTCTTATTCTGCTATTGTGGTGGCTGTATCATAAGCGGCTTGATCATAAATGATCATCATCATCATCGTAAAACATTCTCAATGATAATAATAAACTAATATTATTGCTATTGATGATGATGATCATTATTATTATTATTACTAATTATTTTGTCATTGTTTTTTTTGTCGATGTTGATACTTCTTATTGTTGGGTTTACTTATCATCCGACCATGCATTTCAAGGTTCTTTCAAAATGCGGCCAGTGTTATTACAAAGTGCGACAATTTTATTACACAGTGCAATGATTATTACAAATTTTGCCAGAACACGGGTCACAACATTGTTTCTAACAACCAGTCAGCCTGACCAGCAGTTTTGAGTGGTACAATCTCTGACGCATTTTCCATGCATTATCGGTGATGACAACTGTTTAGCAACTGGCTCCTCCTTTTGTACAACGGCTTGGTCATGCGCCTTTTTGTACGATCGGGGATCAGGCGTATCCGGAAAGATAAATGTTTGTTCCGCCGTCCCTTTTAAAATTACCAGTGGAAAAGCCCTGGGGACGGTAACAACAACAACAATGGGCTTTATTTGCATAACCATAAAAGTACATACAGAATTGCCAAAACTATTTTAAGAATGTAAATTACATCATAAGGCAATTACGTTACTTCGCTAATAATTTGTCACGAAGATCAAAGTAAGCTAAAGTATATTTTTGTGACTTGTATATTGATAAAGTAATTAGAGGAGTTCATCAGTTCATTGATCAAAGCTTTTGTAGTTAACTGGGTAATATTTGGAATCAGAGTCTTTACTTTATTGTAAAAATTATTCCTAATCATAGAGTATGTAGGACAGCGAAAGAGAAAGTGAACTTCGTCTTCTGTTAGATTGGATCCACAAAAAGGGCAATGCCTATTATTAGTTTGCGATTGCTTATTCGTAGTTTTACTGATAGAGCCCTTCTCCCAGCTGTTCCTCTTGTTAAGTCTAAGTAATTAGAAGTGGAATGATCGGTTTCAAAAGAGCTATAAAACTCACGTTTTTGAGAATGTTGACAGGTACTTTGCCAATGTGACGTTATTCCTGTTTCATAGAACCTACTTAGCGAAGTTAGTTGTAGCTTTGTAACGTGGGGCCTGAGCCCGAGTTGAGTCGGACATTTGCAGTTTGGTAGACTTACGACTCGTGTAACTGGTGTGCTAGTTTAGTAAAGTGATTCGAACGCTAGTTGTGTTATTTGTGTTACATTTGGTGGCAGCGGTGGGATTTTTGCCATGGAAGACACTGTGAAAGCTTTGGAAGAGAAAGTGGCGCTCCTCGAGGCGAAACTTGGAAAGAAAAGTGAAAGTACGGCTGGTACAAGCGGCAGTTCACCGATAACGTCGCCAGAAAACCCTCTTCGCATCAAACCGGAGAGCTTCTCTGCGACGTCCGGCGAAAGTTGGGTGGTTTGGATACGGAAATTTAAAAGTATTGCAGCCCTTAACAAGTAGAGTCCTGAGCTTCAGTGTCAAATATTACCCGCATACCTGAAAGGCCTTGCCGAACAGACCTATCACAGCCTGACTGCCGAACAAACAGCCACGTGGACGGCCGCTGAACGCGCTCTGACAGATCGATTTTATCCTAAGGAATCTCGTCAGGTACACATTTCCACTCTACGAGCCAAATTAAGACGTCCTGACGAAGATCTACATCAACTGAGGTGCAACATTTCTTGTCTTGTGGAGATGGCCTATCCGGATGACCCCCCGGATATACTCAATCGCACTGACAGAGATTTCTTGGTGGGTGCTTTGAACCCTATTATATTGCAAGAGAGAGAAGGTGTTGGATTTGAGGCCCAATACTTTGGATGAGGCCCTAGCGGCAGCTCAGCAACATGAATCAAAAAGTGCTCAACGTCTGGGGAGCAGGAGAAGTTTGGCTCCCAACAGGGAACCCAAGAACCCCCAGCGTGGGCTAAGGAGCTTTTTCAACAGCAAGCTGAAATCTTAGAGAAGCTAAAGAATATTCCTCAAGGGAGGCAAGGTAGGAATGGAAGTGTAGAATCTGGCCCCAGAGCATGTTTTAAGTGCGGTAGCCTGACTCATTTTATTCGTGAATGTCCACATCAAGTCCGTCCCGACCAGGGAAACGGGAGATGGGCGGGGCACAGCGGAAAGTGACACCGCCGAGAATCCAAAGGGAGCATTTTTGCCTTGTGATATCAATGGTGTTAAGTCCAAAGCCTTATTAGACACGGGTGCAGAAGCAACAATTATCAGTGAAGCACCTATACAGTCGCTCTAAGACACATATAAACAAACTTGAGTCCACACTGAAGCCTGACCTGGGGACCAATAACATGCCAGTTGGTGTGGTTGGAGAAACAGAAATAAAAATTCAGCTGCGTGCAATCAAGGCCCGGCATAAAGTGCTGGTGTGCCGAGACTTGGCACAGCAAGTGTTGATTGGTATAGATTTCCTAACAGCTCACAAATGTATTATTATCTTTGACACTAACGCTGTCGACAGTAAGGGGGAACCCAACAAAATGGTTTTTGGATGCCTTGATAGAGTTTACAGGGTCACTGTGGCCGAAACCGTCAAATTATCTCCAAATATGGTCGCACACATACCTTGTGAGGTCCAAGGGGTAGATGACTTAGACGAATTTACGGGCGTACTGGAACCAGCAGACAAGTTTTCAGAAAGATATTCTGCTGGGGCCTTTCGGACAACAGTGACCGTGGAAGGAGGTCGAATCCCAGTTCGTGTGTTCAATTACCTTAACAAGCCCCTCAAGATTTACAGGTGCAGCAGTATAGGAGACCTCTACCCATTAGCAGGCGAAGAGGAATCACAGGAGGAAACCAATGTGGGTGTGGGCTACAAGGTGGTACCCCCTGCGGCCTCAAAGGAAGTTGTTGAGGTTGGATTGGAAGCTGAACAATGTGGTGAGATTTTTGTGAGGGACACTGACGTCCACAGTTTATTAGTAGAAGAGGTGTTCCCTATCAGCAGTGATTTGGCCCCGGAAGAGGAAAAACTTAGGCATTATGAGATGTTGTCCACTTATGGTGACTTCCTTTCAAAGGGGCCGTGGGATTTAGGTACTGCAAAGGGCGTACGACATACCATCGACACAGGCTCTGCCAAGCCAATCCAGGTACCGCTGCGAAGAGTTACCTTTCACAAAAGGCAGGAAATGCACAGCCAAGTGGATGAAATGCTCGAAGCAGAGATTATAGAACCGTCCGATTCCCCTTGGTCCTCTCCGGTGGTTTTAGTAGCAAAACCTGATGGCAGTCAACGTTTCTGTGTGGACTACCGCTCTCTTAACTTGGTAACCAAGCGAGACTTGTACCCGCTTCCACAGTGTGATGACATATTGGAGAGTTTATCAGGGGCACAGCGGTTTTCTCATCTCGACCTCCTTACGGGATATTGGCAAATTGATGTGGCAGAGGAAGATCGGAAGAAGACGGCGTTCGCATCTCCGGATGGCCTTTACCAATTCCGCAAACTAAGTTTTGGCCTTACGAATGCACCTGCGTGTTTTATGAGGGCTATGCACCTTATCTTGAAGGGTTTATGCTGGTCAGACTGTCTGATGTATCTAGATGATATCATTGTCTTTGGTCGAACACTACAGGAGCATCGGGAGAGACTGTCACTTGTCTTTTCACGCTTGACAGAAGCAGGCTAGAAGATTAACCCCAAGAAAGTAAACAGGTGGTTGTGTTTGGTCACTTCATGTCACGGGAGGGCATATCTACTGATCCAGAGAAATAAGAGTCATAAAGGTGTGGCCGTAGCCAGTTGATGAGAGTCAGCTGAGAGTGTTCTTGAGGACGGCTGTTTACTATAGACACTTTGTGCCAAACTACGCCCACATTGCATTCCCTTTGCACCGTGCTTGCCAAAAGGGGGACCGTTTCAGATGGACAGCTGAGTGCGAGGAAGCTTTCCGGGACATCAAGCACAGATTGTCGAGTGCTCCCATCCTGGCTTTCCCCCAGCTAGACGTACCGTTCATCCTGGACAGTGATGCCAGTGACAGTGGGCTGGGGGCGGTGTTGTATCAGGTTCAATGTGGGAAAGAACGTGTAATAGTATACGCAGCGCGTGCCCTATCAAAGGCTGAAAGGAACTATAGCACCACCCGGAAGGAACTGTTGGCCCTCGTGTGGGGAACAGAGCGCTTCGAGACATTCCTCTGCGGGCGACGTTTTCTGGTCAGGACTGACCCTAGTGCTCTGCAGTGGCTACGGAACTTTAAAAACCCTAGAGGCCAGGTGGCTAGGAGGCTAGGTGGCTTGAAAGGCTTAGTGACTTTGGTGGAACATCGTCCTGGTAAATTTCACGGCAATGTGGATGGACTGTCCCGCCTTCCCTGGTACGAGGGTGCATCGGTTAAGGTAGAGAGGGATGCCACCCAGATTCAGTCTGTGAATGTGGAACCCTTGTCGAGAGAAAGTATACGTGCAGCCCAAAACCAAGATCCTGTCCTGTCGCAAGTTGTGAGGTGGCTTGAAACTGATGTCAGACCCGCTAGAGGCGATGTGGAAGGAGGGGGACGCAAACTGTTATCATACTGGTCACGATGGGGAAGGCTGTTTCTCAGGGACGGTCTGGTGTTTAGACGTTGGGAACACGAAGTGACAGGCCAAGAGATTTATCATCAAATCTGCTTGCCCGAGAGTGTCGTGTCACAAGTGTTCTGCGCCTTGCACAACGATCCGTCAGCAGGCCACCTTGGCGTCTCGAAGACTCTAGAAAACGTGCGGATAATATTTCATTGGCATGGCATGCGGGAAGATGTCGAAATGCACGTTAGAGGGTGTGTCCCATGTGCTGAAGTCAACGACCCTTGCAAGCTGCCAAAGGCACCCGTTATAAACATTAAGACAGGGCACCCCCTACAAAGGGTCGCAATAGACATCTTAGGTCCCACACCGAGATCTACCTCTGGCCATGAGTGGTTGCTGGTGATCTCCGATCATTTTACTAAGTTTGCTCAAGCCTTCCCAGTGAGAAACACCTCAGCAGTCACGCTGGCGAAGAAGGTGGTAGATGAATACGTACGCCGTTTCGGGTGTTTCGAGGGTTTGCATTCTGATCAGGGAGCCAATGTGGATGGAGCTGTACTCAAAGGACTGTGCGATTTAATTGACGCAGCGAAAACAAGGACGATGCCGTACCATCCCCAAGGGGACGGGCAGGTAGAGAGAATGAACAAATCTCTGGTGAAGATCCTTAGTAAGCTGAGTTGTGACCATCGCCTGGACTGGGCGGACTTTGTGCCAAAATCAGTTCTTGCTTACAACACTAGTGCACATGAGTTGGATGCTCTCCTTAGGTTCGAGACAACACCTTCTTAAGGGTCAGCACAGACATACCCCGATTATGCTGTTGAGCAGAAGCAGCAATTAGGAGAGACGGAGCAAATAGTGAGAGAGAACCTCAAGCGAGCGCAGAAGTCCCAGAAAGCTTATTATGACACCAATTACTAGGGTCAGCGGTTCCGTGTAGGAGACCGGGTGTGGTATAGAAACCGAACCAGCACAAGAAGGAATATATTCCTCAATCCCTGGTGTGGTCCTTGGAAGGTGGTGAAAGCTCTGTCTGATGTTAGCTATCGCATTGAAGAGGAGAGGCGGAAGCCGGGAAAACGTTGTCAAAGGAGGGTGGTCCACTTCAATTATCTGAAGCCATGCTTTTCGTCACCTGAGAAGCCCTCACAGTTAACCTATTCGGGCCATGCGGAAGATACGCCGAAAGCGGAGAACCTGAGGGACGGGCAGCAACCGTCTCGAGGAACCTTAGTTGACTCTGGAGATGTCGAATTGAAATGGCTGGAAACTCCAGTTGCTACAGTCACAGAGGTTTCTCATCCCTCCCAGGAGCGTGAATCTGGTGTTGAATCTAGTGGTACATTAAGTAAATCCCCTCGAACAATCTGAGGTTTCTCAAGTGAGTGATGAACCGCCTCGTGAACCGTGTCATGTTCCTGCAAGGCGGAGACGTGAGCGAAGGGAACCTGTCTGGCTACGAGACTAAGTTAGAACAGTTGCTGTTTACCCAACCTGGTCCTTGAACTTTGTGGGAACATTTGCATGCTTAAATTAGAAATTCTCTTTCTTACCTCGGACCTTATGTGGGATGGGGTAGTGTAGCGTGGGGCCTGAGCCCGAGTTGGGTCGGACATGCGCAGTTTGGTAGACTTACGACTCGTGTAACTGGTGTGCTAGTTTAGTAAAGTGATTCGAACGCTAGTTGTGTTATTTGTGTTACAACTTATGATACTCCAATTCATGGAGATTTGAGCGTGATTTATTATTCATTTCGAACTGAATAATAAATCACTAATATACCACTTTCCTGCTCTCCGTGATTTAGTAAAGCACTATCGTTTTCTTAAACTAGACCATTTTACAGTTGTGGGCTTTAATTTGTACCCTAGACTTATGGTTGTATCAAAACAAGGTCAGCTCCAGCCTCGTTTCTCTTTATAACTGTAAAATGCATATGGTCTATTGAACTCGACTGCGCTGCTATGGATCTCTAATTGTTTGTGTTCTGTTTTTTGTCTCTTCAGGGTCTGCTGGTTATCAATATTCGACAAATACCTTCTTATACTCACTGAAAAACTACAACGGGTATGGATATTTTAAAAAGGACATAACATTAAACTACTATGACAGAGCCACGTACAGCCGCTATGACTATTTTCCAACTTTTGGGAACCATGATATCTACATTGCAGACAATGCAGGATACAACACTAATTCTTACTTTAATGATTGTCTGGCGTACCTCAGTCCCTATTGTGACAGTCATCTCTGGGTTGGATCACAGTACGGAAATAATTTTTGCCCAGATGAGTTGGAAGTATATTACGAAGTGCTTGCTTGAAACCGGGCAGCAACAAAAAACAATTAAGGCTAAAACAACAACGGCAACAACAACAAACCAGCAAAATAAACAACAGCGATAAATAGATAAATTAGCTCTCCCCCTTTGACTATACCCTGCTCAGAAATTCTATCATGATATTTTCAAAGTAACGCAACTCATGACAAAAAAGGTGATTAGCAACTAACGTGTGCATTTCGTTATATCTGGAGCTTTCGCATTATCAATAGCAGAAATTTCAGCAACAAAGTGAGATGTTAAAGCACCAACAGCGGTTAGCCATTTAGCACTACCAGTTTTGTCCTTATGATGGACCAGAAGGGCGTTTTTTGTTGATAGCGTAGTTCCATGGTAGGAATTTGTAAGTGCTTTCTCTTGTTATTCCCCACCACTTGTTAGAACTTATCCCTGTAGGTATTCTTAGGAATCTCAAAGGCCGGTTGTATAGCAGTAGCGAGTAAAGCCTCTTTATCGTTCCGGCGTTCCTTTTGTTGTGAAGTGTTTTGAAAGTTATTTTTAAGACGGATATATCTTATCTTTTAAGTTTAGTTTTTGTTTCATTAAGTCTTGTTTTTGTCCACGTACTGTTTTCCTATTTTGATCTTTTGTTTATGTATGCTTAGCTCGCGAATTTACTAGCCTTATTGCCATGATAGGAATATTATTTGCTTGGCATTGTCAGATGTTAGTTTTTTACAGGTGGTCGTGTTTGTGGTGTTAGAGCTATGCATGGAATGATATTTAATATGTAGCCCGTCAGACTCCTTTGTTTTATGTTTTTGTGGACCGGACGGTGCACATTTAAATAGCATTCCTATTATCTTGATCATACTGACCAATAAAAACGTCGCAAGAGCTTCCAACATAAACTACAAGACCATTGTTTTTATCTTTGATGTTTGCCTCCATTCACAGCCAGTCTCCTCTTCTTACTATGGTTAAGTCGGCCGGTCAATTTAAAATACTTGTCCTAGCATGATTGGAGAGAATAATGTGAAAAAGAAAATATACGTGTATACCCGGTGATCCAAAAATATATATAAATCGACTTTCACCTTTTGAGTCGCTTGACGTGTTCATTCGTCTTTTGCTTCTTTGAGCGTGTCATTTGGCTCAAGTCTCTTGCTCAAATTCTTTTATCAGTCAGAATTACTTTCTTGCAAATGAAGAGAAATGAAACAGACAAATATCAGTTGGCCCATCACAAAAGTTAAAGAGAGTCATCTACAGGCTTAAAAATTTACAACGCAATGCGAATGTAGACTTGTAAAGTTATTATCGGCTTCTCTCTCTCTCTCTTTTTTTTTTTTTTTTTTTTTTTTTCACACAATACACTTACTAACAATCGTGGGTCATAAATCATGCGAATTGGCCGGGTAAATATGAAATTTTAAGAACCCCAAAAAGTCAACCTCGTCCCGAGTGCTTTTCCCTCAAAAAATGGGTTTTGAGGGAAAAGTCCTGGGTACGAGGTTGCCAAAAAGTCGCTTTAGCCAGATTACCTTTATTCTTATTGGACATTGAGCAAGCACTCTGCAATTTTAACATCATTTTCAAGAGCACATCACCTACTGCAGTAGTACCTGATATTGCTTTTGTTGTTGTTAAGGGACCGGTCATTATTTATCGCCCGGTGGGGGGGGGGCGGGGGCGGAGGATTTTAGGGGGAATCACTTGATTTTTGGGAGAACAAAAGGAGGGATCAGTCGTAACTAAGAACCCAAAAGGGCGGATCGCTAAAAATTTTCTAAGGATTCAGAGGGGGGACCACTAAAATTTGTTTGGAAAATGAAGACATGGAGAGGGGGGGGATCGCAAAAGTCATCAAAAGTTGTTAGGGGGGATTACTTCAGTGAAGTAACATTCAAAGAGGGGAACCGGCGAAATTTCACCTTGTTTAGCCCCAAATCCTCCGAAATGGTCGCTGCTCTGGTCAAGGTATTCCTTCTACATTCACGATCGTTCCGCGAAATCGCGCAAAACTGAAATCTTCCAAAACACGGGATGGGGTAGACGGCTTCACCCATGTATATGACTGTATTGGTCTGAACTGTATGAAAAAAGGAATAGCCGTTCGTGTGATATAATGAGACTAAAAGTTGTATTTGATTCATTGTGTTACTATATTGCAGCGAGGGCATATCATTCCTGCCAAACATAATTACGTTCATAATATCCTTTCTTTCGGACATAATTCTGTTTCTTTGAAGAAACAAATGCTTAAGTCGATTTTGCGTTAACTTTGGAACTATATGTGTATTTGAATACGTGTAAACTGTACATTTTTCCGGTCTGTAATCCGTTGAAATCAAAACAAAAAGCTCACTTTTGCTTTTGTTTGGTTCTGACAGCGGGATATAGCTACTAGCATCATCAAAAAAGACAATGCTACTCAGATTTTGTAAAAAAGCATTCAGGGCTTTGATAGGCCTGTTATGTAGCCGAGCGTTGAGCGCTTCACTCGAGAATTCGAATCCACAACACCTGCGCCTTCCTTTTTCAGTTGAGTCGGGAATTCAAATGTAGTTGCCTGGCAACAACTCGAATAAGATTAATGTCCAGTGTGAATAGAACCCAGTGTGATAGTCGTCACGAGGGGAGAAAATCACCCACGTAAAGTCGAATCTGATTAAAATTGGACATGCTATTCTGAAGACGGCGGCATCAGAAAATGCACTGACTTGAAAGACCATTTCTACTGCATTATAAATAATATGCCCTTTTTTGACAATGCTTAAGGGTCCCGTGGAGGATGGAAAAGGCCAATGCATAACTTTAGTTTCTGTAATTTCCTTACTGTCAGCAACAATCGTAGTCGGTCATGCACTGATGCTGATAATTTTGTGGAAAGATCCTTTCAAGCGGTTTCGAACACCACCTACGTTTTTGGTTTGCGGAATGGTATTGGCGAACTTTACTAGCGGGCTAAGCGCCGGCCCTCTTTTTTGCTATTATGTCATTTCTTCATGTTCGGCACTGAGACCTCCGTATTTAGAACTGCTGTGGAACGCTGCCAGCTTTATGCTGTACTGGACAACAAGTGTGTCTTATTTATCAATGCTCGGATTATCATTGTGCCAGTACATTGGGGTGAAGATACCTCACAAGCACTCTGGGTTAGTCACTAAAAAGACTACTGCAAGCTCCCTTGGAATTATTACTTTCATCTCATTTCTAATACCGGGTCTGCTTCCTCTTGGTGTTTCCCCAATCATAGTGGAAAAACTACAACTACACGTAACGTTTCAGCTGAGTACGTTTATCCTCTGTGCCTTATATGCAGCTCTCGGCGTGGAATATTTACAGCAGGTTAAACGAGCTAGGGAAAGCAGCAACAATGCAGTTAAGGGAATGACCTGCGTTCGTGTTAGAGACAGAAATTTCACTAGAGCTAATCTAATGTTGCTCGCTTGTGTTACACTTTTAAGCTTGCCGATAATGATAACATGGCACTTATCAATGTACGGTGGAAAATTATTCTCCTCCAAAACAGGCCAAACGGCATCTGGAGCTGTAACAATCACCTTATTCATGATGAAAATAACTCTTGACCCCTTTATATATTGCATGCGGCTTACGATATACCGCAAAGCGTTTAAACGCATTTTCAAGTGGAGAAATCGACAGGTTGCGCATGCCGGCTCCTCGTAAACAAGACGCAGTTACTGGAAAGAGATTCTATGGTCTTACAGACACTGGGACTTTCAAGCAGGAGTTTACATAATTGTCCGAATAATGTTTACCAACATCAAGTTTAACTCCTTCAAAGACACATGGACATTTGAGTATGAACATCATCTAGGCATACATAAAAGAAAAAAAAACTTATTAAAAAGAAAGGGACGACATATTTCCAAACTTCGAAAGTATTAAACACGGAAACTCGAGTTGAGGATTTCCACTCATCACCAGTATAATGGATGCCTTCAGCTAATGGACAGTCTTCGTAAAAGTAATTGCAAGAAAACCCATAAGCCTGGCCTCCATTTTTAATATGCTTACATTTAACTAAAAGTGGTAAAATTTGGACAAAATGCGGCAACGGAAACTAAATAAAAAAATGAACAAACATAATTCAAATGTAGTTTAAATCATATCGTACTTTGACTTTGCGTGCCACATTGAATAAAGATCAATAAACGCAGTTGTTTAGACGAGCCGGACAAGAGCCGGACGTATGGATTACAGTTATTTTCTTCTCAGTTTTGCATATTTATGATTTTCTCATATGTACAAATTACTTCTTCAAATTTGTCATCGACAATTCATTGTTTCATGGTGGCGGTATTACGTTTATAACCTTTCTGGGATATGTCTAAGCAATATCGTTAAGATATTGATTCACACTTATATTGAAAGAGAGCATGCTTTCATCAAGCTTGGTTTTATTTTACCTTATTGCCATTAAGATGAAATAAATTAACAGCGAGGAAAGAAATAGATTGAAATTTGCATATTAAATGCAATTTCTTGTGGAAAATTTGCGCGAATGGACCGCGCGAATGTTTGTTGCATTGACAACTGCCGAATGCTGAGAAAGAGTACTTGCAGTGATAAAAGATCTTAATTCTGTGGTCTAAGCCATTTGATGATTTTTAGCTTTTAAAATTAACGTACATTTAAAGCACTGAGAACGAGGAGACTTTCATTGCATTCTTTAATGATTTGGAAATTGTTAACTAAGCCATCGATATTTCAACCGAGCTATATCGACTGAAAATTTGCCGTAAGTGAAATGAAACCAAATGCCGGGAGCCGGTTACTTTCCTTTCAGCTACATCATTCAGAAAAGAGCAAAGTAAATATTTACCGTTATGTCCAACCAGCAATGCGGTTGGATAGAGAATTGAAAGCTGCCTGTGTTCTAGAGCAAATATACTGAATTGTAGGCCAAACTATAAGCCAAATAGCGTTCCTGGCCTGCTGAGTAT